GGAAGGATATTTGGGAAACGCGACGGGCAGGTGAATGTTTGTTGGAATGGTGGGAAACGCGTGCCAAACCTGGAATAGCGAGTTATTATAAGAAGCGGGGAAAAGAGGAGGCGAGGTGGAGGTATGGGCTGCAAAACTATCTGGAGGGGCAGCTAAATGATTACTATGTGGGGGGCGGGAGTAGTAGTCGGTATGACGACATTGAACATCTTCGTAGTCGACTTGCAGAAATTCACAATGAACGTTTCAATGCGGTTAGAGTCAGAGCAGGTATGGAAGAAGTGCTATGGGGTGACAAACCTTCGGGTTGTGTCTTGCGCAAATTTAGGGTCAGGCAACAGGCGACGTCCCTCTTGCAATTGGAAGTATGCACGGGTTTGGGTGGTTACCTGCCGGGTCAAGTACTCCTCACCACGGACAGCATGAGTTTTTATGCTGATCTATGGTTTGGGGAAAAGCTACGGAGGGGAGTAGGGGGGGTCCATGAGGGCGGCCTGGTGAGGAGGGATTTCAGAAAAGTTATAAGTGACAGGGATAGAACGGTACTAGAAGGTAGCATTCGAGTGGAGGAGGTAGAGGAGGCGATTTTTAGTATGAGTAAAGGAAAGGCACCAGGTATAGATGGCATTTCGAATGATTTTTATAGGGCGCATTGGGGAAGTATTAAGCATTGTTTGGTTGATGTATTAAATTGCATGCTCACGGAGGGGAGGTTAGGTATGTCACAAAGTACGGGGGTAGTTGTGTTGGTGCCCAAAAAGGGAGGGGGGAGGGGTCTGAGTGCATATAGAGCAATATCTCTTATGTGCTCTGACTATAAAATCTTTGCAAAAGTTTTAGGAAAACAGAATGAGGAAGGTTATGGGGTCGGTTATTCACGAGGGACAGCTAGGCATACCAGGTAGGAGCATGAGGGACGGACATGTACGTATTAGGGAGTTTTTGGAGGAATGTCAAGGGGGGGGGTGTCCTCGGGCTTGACTGGCAAAATGCTTATGACTGTGTTGATAGGGATTTATTGAGGCTTATTTTATTGAAGCAGGGTTTTGGAGAGGGAATTGCAAGATGGGTGGATACCTTGTATGCCACGGCTATGGTACGCATACAGGTAAACGGTAAATTGGGTCAGCCGGTCCGTATGGAAAGGGGTTTGAGGCAAGGGTGCCCCCTCTCCCAGCTGCTTTTTGCTTGTATGCAAAACCCATTTTATGAGCTGGTGGATGGTGGTTTGAGGCGTGGAACGCTGAGCAGTGACCATGCAGCGCGTGTGGTCGGGTACGTAGATGATACCACAATTCTGTTAAAAGGGGAGGAGGATTTGCAGATCGTGGGATGGATTGTTGAGTTTTTTGGGGCAGAGTCAGGCATGTGCGTTAACAAGGCAAAATCGAAATTATTGGAGGTGGGTACATGGGTGGGGGGGGGGGTTGGGCGAAAGGTATGGGTGGTCAGTCGTGGTGCAACTTAGAATATGTGGCATCGTGTACATGGCAGATGAGAGGGAGAGCCGAAGGGTAAAAATCTGAATTGGTGGTTAACAAGGCTTTAGATCGACTTCGGGGGTTAAGAGCTGGGGATGTCTCGTTGCAACAGAGGACAGTTTGTGGTTAATACACTTGTTTATAGTAAAGTATGGGGTGTGGCCGCGGTGTACCCTTTAAGAGATACGGATATTCAGGATTTTGCAGAGAAGGGTCTTACGTTATGTTTGGGGTTTCGGGAGGGCTTGGTTAAGTCGGGAGGTTGTCATGACCCATGTTCGCCGTGGGGGTTTAGGTCTCTTGGCTTTGGGGCCACGGGTGAAGGCCCTCTATGTAAAGCAGCGGTTCCTTAGGGCGGGGCGGTGAGAAGGGCATCCGGGTGGGTCGGGATAATGATCGAAATGCGTAAATGGTGGAGCGGCAGGGGATTAATAGAGTGTGAGGACATGCTGCGTTTGTTGTTAAAGTTGAGAAATGCGAAACGGATCCAGGTGGGGCAAATGGTCAGCATATGTTGTCGTAGGGAAATTGTACAGGGATTGTCTGTTTTTCCGCTGTATAATTGGGGGGAAATATGGGAAGGATTTTGTAAACTTAAGTTGGCACCAAGGGTTCGTGAATTGGTGTACAGATTTGTCATGGGGATTTTAGCATCAAAATCGGTCTTAAATAGGATGGGTTTGGTAAGGGAGGCGGATTGCTTGTGTTGCGGTCTTGAAGAAACAGCTTTTCATGCTGTCTACTTTTGTGATACCTTGGACAAAGTTCGTTCGTGGTTGGGGCGGGTTTTAGATTTTCTTAGTGGGGGAAGTATTTCAACCTTACGGGCCTTAACATTGGAAGTTAGCGGAGTATCAAGTGAGGTACGAAGAGCAATAATGTACGTGGTGGCTGATTTCCTCTATATCTCGTGGGGTATGCGGGAAACCGGGGGATCAGGTAGGATCAGGGCAATTGCGGCAGGTATCTACAGAACGTATTGCAGAAATAAACTCGTATATGGTAGAAGTTGGGATAATAGTTTCCCGGCAAAGTATCGATGTCTTACTGTTCAAATGTTGCTGCAACTGCGGGTGGGGTAAGGCAACAGGGGGCTGGACTCCCCCCGTGATAGCACCAAACGGTATGTTAGACTTTAGGGTAGAGCGCGGGTTTTAGGGAGTGACGTGTATGTATTATGAATGGTTCCATACGTCTGTGTGTGTATGGTTGTGGCGTTGTGTGGCACTGAGATCTTGAATTACTCATAAAATGAAGTCTTGTGGAATGTGTGACACGTTTTGTTAAGTTTATATGTGGCGTGATAGATGTTATAAGGAGTTTAGTGTTGGTAACTTACTAAAATCATAATAGACCATTTGGATATTACTTTTTCATGTTGTAATCTTGGGTTCTTTAAAATGTGTACATAGCCTAGTATTGTACCGACATGTAGGATGAGGTGTATTTTTCTTGCATTTTGAGTGTGAACTTCACGATATGCAATGTTTTGAAAGTTTATAATTCATGGTTAACATTAATATTTGATATTATATTGGTGGTGTATATTCTTCTACTTATTACAGTGTATGTGTATAGGAGTGTAATGTTTCATAACTGTTTTAGTCTGTAAATTTATGTTGTCTTGTTCATGCACTACCAACTCTTAGGTAAACACTCATTAAGGTTTTGATGAGGTCAGTGTATGACCATTCATTAGGATAATTAATGTATGTTATTTAGAACGGCGACTGTACATACGAAAGGGGGGGGTAGAAGTGTCAGCTGTGTCTGCACTGGCAATAATGATTGTAAAAGGAGGGTTTGTAGGTTATGTATATGGTTGTGGGTTATGTATATGGTTGTGGGTTATGTATATGGTTATGTATATGGTTGTGGGTTATGTATATGGTTATGTATATGGTTGTGGGTTATGTATATGGTTGTAACATGGCCATTATCTATGGTGTTCTTTAAATGTACCAGGATTGTGTACTAGAGGTTTTGTAATATCTAGTGTGGTTTTTAATTTTATACTCTTATACATTATTGTATTTGTCCTATGTTCTAAATAAAAATAAAAAAAAAAAAAAAATCACTTGTTCTCTCTAGGCTTAAATACTGTTGTACATTAACATCTCCATTTAAGGCAGGTGAAATCGCAGATCTAGAGAATGCACAGAGAACCTTTACTGCACATGTAAGTTCCGTCAAACACCTTAACTACTGGGAACGCTTGGAAGCACATGACTTGTACTTACTGGAGCGCAGGCGAGAGAGAATCATAATCTACATTTGGAAAATCCTAGAGGAACTGGTCCCAAATCTACACACAGAAATCACTCCCTACGAAAGCAAAAGACTGGGCAGACGGTGCAACATACCCCCAGTGAAAAGTAGGGGCGCCATTAGTACACTAAAACACAGTGTCCGGGGCCCAAGACTTAGTTTCCCACCAGGAATAAGAGAAATTACCAACAGACTCCTGGATGCCTTCAAGAGGGAACTGGACAGATACCTAAAGTCAGTACCCGATCAGCCGGGCTGTGGTTCGTACGTTGGAGTACGTGCGGCCAGTAGTAACAGCCTGGTTGATCAAGCCCTGATCCACCGGGAGGCCTGGTCAAGGACTGGGCTGCGGGGGCGTTGACCCCCGGAATACCCTCCAGATAGACTCAGGAGTGCGGGAGGCACCCAACAGAGCTGGACACTCAGAGCTCAACCACTTATCGCACTTAGTGATTCACTGATGCTGTTATTGGTGGCATTTAGTCAACGATAATTTACTGAAATCAGTTAATATCTAGCACATTATTAATAATAGTTACAGTGTAGTAATTTACCGATTATAGTAATTATAGGATGAGATCAATTACTGATGGTAGTCACAGCATGTATACCATCTCATCGTAAATATCAATTTTTGTTGTTGTTGTTGACTTACCAAAACAACCCAGCACTTGGAGACATGACACCTGACAGCTCACATACGCAATTGCATGGTTTAAATGTCTAGTCCAGACTTTTTTAGTTATCTTTTTTTAAATAAATATTAAGCACTCAGGTTGAGTGGGATGATTTAGCATTAAGATGCTGCTACAAGTGTACTTTTGGGAAGGTTTCTGGCAATGTGGTTCCCACCCACTTTCCCCACACAGTTTTATCTTAAAACTCATTTTGACTCGACTTCCCTCACTGTGCCGCTAGTATAGTTATAACTGCAACTCTAAAAGCTTCTTACCGATCAAACATCTAAAAATATTAACTTTTGACCATCTAGTAAACTGTAATTACCTTTTAAATGAACATATGGAAATAAATTTATTGCTAAACACGTAAAATGCCAGCTATATTTAACATGGATACTTTAGATTAAATAGTTTGCATAACTATGGACTCGTCCATGTAAGAAACAACTACTGTAAATGACTAACATAAATGTAGGGTCTTGGAAATATATTTTTTATTATTGCAAAAAAATCATGAATGGATATTGATCGAGGTGATTCGGTAGAGTAAAGAAGTCACAGTAGGTAGTACCTTAACAAACTCACGGGTGAGTACTGCCATAGGGTAAACCAGCCTTTGTAGTGCATGACGGGTCCTGAGGGCGGAGGTAACACATCTAGAGAGAGACATTGTTACTGGGCACAGTCAGGCGTTCTACTGAGCCTCTCACACACCCACCCATGGATAACCTATTCAGCCGCCCTCTCTAACTAGAACACCATGGGAACAAGGAATCCCCCTTGAAAGACATGTAATTTGTAGATGTTGTTGTCTCATAGGAGAAACATTGTAGACCATTACCGATGGAAGTAATTTACCAGAATGATTTCTAGTGGTTAGTGCTGGGTATAAATTAACGAGAGGACTGTTGTTAGACCAGGCGGCGGAATAGTGGTTCTCTTGGTGATGCTAACGCTCGCCACCCACTAGATTTTGGACTGAACGCTTCCAAATTTTCTAATTTTAATAGCCTTTTAGTTATGTAATTTAATAACAAAGAAAATAATGAATAACTTCTTAAACAGTTACACACGATCATTAATATATTTATGTTATAAACATTAATGTATACAAATAAAATCATTTTCAAAACAATTAGGAAACAATAAAGTGAGCAACTTCTAGCACTCATAATAAGCACAGTGTTTCCAGCAAGTCTACGTTTAAATACTGAGCAACATTTAAAAATAATATTACGTGTTCACTGTGAGTTAATATGCTTTATAAGTCATTTAGCTAAAAGAAAAAAAGTAACAGTGTTACTAAAATATAACAAATGAATTTTACAAGATTTTTCACTAAACTTTTTAATGGGCGCAGGCAGACGTTAGTATTTTCTTTTGGAAAAGCTAATTGTCCGCCAGTTCCTTACTTTGGTAAAAATTCCATTGTCCGCCACTTTTCCTTACGTTGGTACAGAACTAACATCGGGGAACATGACGCATTTAACAAGGTGTCGGGGCCCTTTAAACCACTTCCACCACACCAGCGACACTTACTGAATTATCTTCATACACGGGCCCAGTCGAGGGATTTCCCTTAACCCAAAAAAGGCTCCTGACCGGAACGAATCGTCCGATTGTCTCCTATTTCCCCAGGCTTTGTAACATATATGAGTTTAGCGCTCCCCATGAATGTGATAGTAATTCACCCGCGGGGCCAGTGTTCTCAACAAAAATTCCCACACTGTGAGAACACTGCCCACTAGGTACCCAGTAAATAGACCCAAGTAAGCTGAGAATCCCGATTTTTGAACATGAAAAAAAGTTTAATAAAATCGATTCTTTAACGTTCCCTTCCATTTTTAAACTTTTCTTTATCCGGGGGTCAAAAGCCCCCTCCGCGGGGTAAAGAGTGTGTGGGAAAAAAGGAAAAGAAAAAGATGAAATTTGCCCTCGAATCAAACATTTTTTGTTTATACAAGACCCATTGCTTTTTTTTATGAGAAAATTTTGCCTGGAGGTTCGAAAGCCCCCACGCGGGGTGCAGGGATTTTTCCCCCGGGTCCCTAATCATAAGCAAGCTACTGAGAAAGCAGGTCTTCCGATCCCCCTGACCGCTGCTTGTCTTCGCCATAACTAGACCCAGCATCCCCCCAAAAAAAACCAGCTAGCATTTTCTTAAGTCTTTAACAAACATTAGTGCCTGACTGCGGTGGAGTGCGGTTGGCCACCCCTCTGCTTTTTTGTCAGGAGAGCTCTCTAGCAAAAATTTGGCGCGGTACCGGGCGTGGGGGAAACACTGTCGGGTGGAGCTGCTTCGGGGGGGCGTTTTCCCCCCCTTACGGGCAGGTGTTACTTCCGGCAATATCGGGAAAACGTAGGAGTGCAGGATGAGAGGTTTATGGTGTACCTGAAGGGGGGCCTATCGCTATTCGTCAATTTAAAATTTCGACGGGTGTACAGTCGTTAGTGAGAAATTTGAGCTGTGAGTTTTGATGTAACCCAGCTGAAAAGTGGACTAAAAGACTTTTTCTCGCCACTTTTACGTGGGTGAAGTTTTGCGCAAGCCCCCTTGAGGCTGCGAGGGGACTTAGGGAAAGGGTTTTCAGTTATGGTACCGGCATCTGGCCCCCCAAAGGCAAGTGGGGGGAGGGGTACGGGGGGACGCCCGGGGTACATTCTCCCTAAAAAAGCCCCTGAGGCCCCCGATCCCGTCATACGCTGATTGCCGGGTTTAGGCCCAAAAATTTTAAATGGCGTATGTGGGCGGTGGGGACAGCGGTTGTGTGGGAGTTGCCCATATGGGGCGACGTGGGGGGGCATGGAGGGCCCCGGCGCAAACAGGTGGTGCCCCTTTTTCAGGTTGGTTGTCGTAGAGGAGAATTAAAAAAAGGGAAAAACCGGGTGAGGCCGTTGGGGTGAAATTGTAGAAGGCTCTTGTGGGTGATGGGGGGGGGGGCACAATTGTGTGGAGCCGATAAGGGGCACTTTCCCGGGGGACGGGGGAGGAAGTGCTCATTCGCGGAGGGGAAAGAGTGGGGAGGAGCGAGAGGTATTAAAAACTTTCCTTCTTCGGGCGGGATAATGGCTTGGTCCGTAAAATGGTGCCTGATTTGAAAGGAGGTGGGGCGGGCACAGGGAAGGGAAGGGGGAAAAACTGCAGGCAGGAGAGGGTCACCGAGCTCTGTGCGACAGGTCACAGTAGAGGGGGGGGTTTATGTTCACTGTGAGGAAACTTGGTGACAGAGGCGGTAGAGAGGTTACGAGGGAAAAGGGGGGCTGGTCAGACTCAATGATTCCTGACGCCCCGCGCGGGTCTGGGGGGAAGGATGTTTTTTCTGTGAAGCCAGGAAAAAGGCATCGAAGAGGGGGGGGGGGGGGTGGTGACAAACCACATGTTGACCCCGGGGCAAGAGGCCCTGGAAAGGGGGGGGGAGGGAAAAGGGGTTTAAAACTTTGAAAAGGCCTTAAGTGCTACTGTGAATGTGAAAGGGGCTGTGTACTGGTTGGAAGGGGGAAGCTTCGTATGCTCTTATCATCAGAGTGGACGTAGTCTTTCTACAGGGGCATAAATTTTAGGGAGGGTAGGGCTCGAGGTGGACGGGATAAAGGTGTGACTCTGCCATCGGCCTTTGAAAAGGGGTGTGGGTTTATTGAAAAAGAGGCGAGCCCCCTTTGTGTTCAAAAAACTGAAGGGGGTGGGGGGGGGGGGGGTTGCGTGTGATGGGTGGTGGTGGGGCAGGGGAACCTTTTAATGTGTATGCACCAGCTGAAAATGTAGAAAGTAAAAAGGGTTTTTTGTTGTGAACTAGTTTTGCTTTCCGTGGGGTTTCCTGAATGGCCCTCGTAGGTGGGGCTGGAATTGTTGTCAGGAAGGCGGGGGGGGAACCCCGAGGGGGGGGGTATTTACGCATTCGCAATCTTTTGTTGGAGTTCAGTTGAGGGATGTGGTAGGTGGGGGAGCGTGGGGGTGGGGCTTCTTTCGTAGCGGGTTACGCAGCTAGGTTAGACGGTTGTATATATCTATAAGATGTCAACGTCTGTCCCCACTTTGAATAGCTTTTTCAGTCATAGGGCGGGGTTTTTGGGAGAAGTAGAGGGGATTCTCTAGCTTGTATCCTAGGGGATTGGAAAATTAAATACGGTTGTTGGGAAAATGGGGGGGTTGGGGGTTTTACGGAGCGTGGGGGAGATTAATGAGGGGGGACAAAGGGTTTTGGGGACGTGGGACTGGGGGGTGGTGTGGTAGGACCCATTCGGCATTATTAGTGAGGGGGGGAAAAAAGGATTAATTCTTTTAAAAATTTTGGGTTGATTAATTATTTGGGGACAGGTTACGGGGTTGTTATGTAAAAGGGACAGTAAGGGTGTCTATCGTGGCGACTTATAACTTTAAAGAGCGGTTTTCGAGAAATTTAGGACAGCGGTTCCAAGCGGGGGAGTAATGGCGGGGTGGAGGAGGGTTATGGGGTTTAAGGCCGCTTTTGTGTGTTGCGCAGAAAAAAAACAAAAAGTCGGAGGCAACAACTATTCCCTGTTTGGAGGTTCTTGAGTCGGGGGGAGGGTAAAAGGGCGGGTCGGTTATCCACACACGGTGGTGGGGTTTTTGCGGATCATGGTACGAAAAGTATTTTCGGGGGGGGGGGGTTTTGGGGGTTTTG